CCCCCCCCCCAAGTGCAGTTTGGCCCTGGGCTGCTCTCACCCCCGCTTGGGGCAGGGCCACCTCCAGAGGCACCTGCTTGCCCCGTGCCAGGGGTGGTGGGCACGGCTGGCTGCGGAGCAGGAGAAGGGAGGCCGGGGCTGGGGGAGCTGGGGAGGGCGGGGGGGGCTGGATCGCAGCCGCTTGGAAGTGGAAAAACTGCCTGAGCCAAGAGCGTCTGGTTTGTAGATCCCGGGACGGGGCTGTGGGAGCGGGGCCAGGCCCTGCCTGTGCTCGGCAGCATCCCCAGCCCGCGGGGCCAGGGCCGGCGCTGGGCATCCCACCGGGGTGGCACCAGGCTCTGCCATGCCGTCCCTGCTCAGGGAGAGGGTCCCCTCAGCCTGGGGGACACCGCACTGGGTTTGGGGTTCAGCAGCCTTAAAAACCCAGGCACCCACGAAGCCTCTGGAGGAGCTACACTGAGCAGGGATGGGGCAAGAAGCAAGTGATTTTGTGCCTTCTCATGAGTCCCAGCTCAGACTCTGCTCGGTGCCACCACAAGAGGAGCCAGGATTGTCACCGCTGTCCCCGCACGGTGGCATGGAGCAGTGGACGTGCCTGGTCGTGGTACCAGGCTGGGATGAGACACTGGATGGGATTCAGAATTGAGGGAAGGACAGGGACAGGCACCGGCTCATGCCAGGGTGATGTGCTGGTGGCCAAGGAGGGCTCCTGTCCTCGTCATATCCCATGGCATGTGTGTGTGCCCGTGCCAGTATGCCCTGAGAATCACCGGTGCCAGTACGTACCGGGCATCACCAGCCCCACAGAGTGTTTTGGAGGGCATCAGGGGATGCAGGTGGGAGATGCTCCCAGCCATGACTCGGCATCTCACGGTGTTTGCAGCACCCGTGCTCCCCAGGAGGGCTGGGAGGTGGCATTGCCCGCAGCGACATCGCAGGAGGACCGTTGGGTCCCCCGGCGTCGTGGCTTCCCCCACCCCCGGGGCGGGAGGTGTTGCCCGGGGCTGTTGCCAGCCCGGTGCTCCGGTTACCGGAGGCGCGCGGCCGGTGGTGCTCGGGGTTGTGCAAACAGCGTGTGGGCGCGGGGCCGCAGGCAGCGGCTGCAGCCAACGCAGACAAGGGCTGTAATTTGCTGGCGCAGCACATCGGCAGCCGGACCAGGGACGACGCCAAACGATGCTGGAGCCCAGCCCAGCGCCCCGACCCCGCACCGATGGCTGCCCCGGGCTGGGGCTCCCTGGGTTGGGGCTCCCTGGGCTCTCCCTTGGGCCCCCCCCATTCCATCTGCCCCAGCCCTGCTGGCTGCGGGGGCATCAGGCTGGGCTTGGGAGCTGATTTGGCTGGAGGGATGTGTGTGTGTGTATGTGTGTGTGTCTATATGTGTATGTGTGTGTGTGTGTGTGTGTGTTTGTGTGTGTATGTGTGTGTGTGTGCATTTGGCAGAGCTACTTCCAGGAGTGTGGGGGCTGTTGCCACAGGGTCCAGGGGGGGTCGTTTGCCCCTTCCCACGATGCGTGGAGACTGGGGGCCCCAGCTCCCCCGTGTGCCATTGCTTCTCCCTTGGCCAAGGGAGGGCTCTGGTGGTCACCAACCCTCCCGTGCCCTCGATGTGTCTGGGCGAGGACGTTTTTGTG